TTTTTTTTTTTTTTTTGGTTTTTTTTTTTTTTTTTTTTTGTTGTTGTTGTTGTTGTTAGGGTGAACGTGCAAATATAGGGTAATAATCCAACCCAACCTAGAATATTTGTTATTTGAACTTTACGATATTTTAATTATTAATGTAATATGTATGGTAGATAAATAGAATTTTTAAATAATTAAATAGATGATTGGATTTGGTTGCCTTGTCTTGTGAACTCTGTTCGTGTTTTTCGGGTCATCAACCCAAAATTTGAGAGTCGGTGGATTTTTTTTATTTTTTTTTATTTAATGTTGTTGAACTCTAAAAGCAATTATTTGTAAATAAATTATGATTATGAAGGAAATTAATTTACTTAGTCTCTTGATTTTCAGGATTCATTTCCTTCCAACTCCAACACAACGGCCACAAACTGTGGCGTCGCTTTTTACTTATGAAGATGCTTAACTCACTAATTAAGTAATTAATGGTTAAGTGTTTTGTTTAATCTCTTTTTGGATTTGTTTGTTTTATTTACTCATTTCCTTCCTCACCCAATTATTTGGATTTTTCTTTTTCTAATGTATAATTCATTTTTTAATAATCGGCATCACAATATAGATAATATTATTAGTAAAACACGAACGTTTTTTTAATTATCTATTATATCATTTTAATTTCATCAAATTTTATCTAATTGGTAGGTCACCTTATCATCTTGCTGATGTTGTTAACGGCGCACGACTAAAACTAGGGGTGTACATCCAACCCGCTAACCTAAGAATCCAACTTGAATGATAAGAATTGGTTTGGGTTTAAAAAGACTTTCTGGTTCATTTTTTGGAACCCAAAATTCTTAAAAAAGGCCCAAGCCCACACAGACCACCCAAGAGTCATGTTGGTTTACTCTGCCGCATAGCGCACATGCACTATGATGAGAGATTGAGTTAACAAGTGTAAAGATAATTCATCTATCCTATTGTCTCTCCGATCGTTCTCATCTCACAACATTTGTCGTTGTTCTCATCTCATAGCAAACGTTTATGTCGCTTGTCAGTCATCTTTTTATTTCTCCGTCACACTCTCTTCTCGACTCTCATTTCTCCACTCGATTTCATCTTTGTGTTTCTTGTTGGACATCGCCGTCGACTGTTTCTTCGCTTAGCTTTCCGTTTCATTTATGTCGAACTTCTACGCTTTATTTTTCTTGTCAGACTTCTCCGCTCTATGTTTCTCGTCGGAGTTCTCCGGCAGTAGGTTGTTTCTCCACTTCTTGTCTCTTTTTAGTTTGAAACAACCCGAACCTAACCCGAAAATAAAACGTTGCGTTGGGTTGAATTGTAAAAATTTTCGGGTTGAGTTGAGTGACCAATCCAACCAACTCGAATTTTTGAGTTGATTCAAAAAAATCACTCAACTCATCCCGACTTAAATCAAACAAAAGTAAAGTAAAAATTATGGGACTTAAATATGTTATGGTTTTTATACACTTCAGTTATTATATTAGCCGATATTAAAAATATATGAAAGTAAATTTATAATAAATCAATAATTTTATTAGATAGGATTAGGGTGCTTTTATAGCAAAACCGAATAGTGTTCACAACTCAACTTAATGTTGAGTCATAGCAACAACTATTTATTATAGTTGGCAGGGCTTGGAAGTAAGCTACTAGCGCCTATCGGCAAGAACTAGGCGTAGCTTGGTTAGCTTCGATTCACTGCAAAAAACTCCTCCAGGCGGAGAAGCTAGAAGCCTTCTCGATCTATGAGGGGAGACTGCTTGAGTTCTAAGCCAACAATCCCTACCTCGATTGTTTGACTTCTTATTTTCCAAACATATTTGAATTGAATTTGGTCCATTTGAGTTATTTTTTTTAATTATTTAAAAAAAAATTATTTATTCCCTATACCGTTACGCTAATAAATAAAATCTCATAAAATTTAAATATCAAATATTTTTATCTAATAAGAGCTCTCCATCGTCAACTCAGATAATCTTTTCTTTTTTCTCCACATAAATTTTAAACTCATAATCATTCTCTAAATTAGAGAAAGTAATGACTGTAGTGACTCTGATTACTAATGTTAGAATTCAACTCTTACCGATCCAACACAGGAATATCTTAAATTTGGTAAGTGTTAAAAATTTTTAAAATAACATATTTCCAAGAACACATGATTCTTAAGAACACGAGAAGAATCCATCTCCATCGATCAGTTTCCGAAGATGATCACATCAACTTCCCTTTCTTCTTCTCGATCTTCTTCACAGTTTTCTTCATTGCACGAAGCTCTCGAATCGCCGATGTTCATTCGTCGACAAAACACGTCGCCTTGTTCGTATTCGGCGATTCCTTTTTCGATTCTGGAAACAACAATTTCCTCAACACCACCAGGGGGTACCGCGCCAATTTCATGCCCTACGGCGAGACTTTCTTCAAATATCCGACCGGAAGATTTTCCAATGGCGGTCTCGTGCCAGATTTCATCGGTGAGTACTCAAAACAGAGACTGAACTAAAAATCGTACTCGCTTCATTTTCGTATCTCTTTAATCTTGAAACAAATTTTACCTTACAGCGGACTATGCGAATCTGCCATTGATTCTGTCGTATTTAGATCCTCGCACCAAACGCTACAACTACGGCGTGAATTTTGCATCCGGTGGAGGCGGCGTTTTAGTCGAAACTCACCGAGGATTCGTACGAACCAGTCGATGAAATGCATTGATTTGTTGTTTTGCGATCTTCGTTTTCTCTGATGAATGTTGAATGTATTGATTTAATTTTACAGGTCATAGACCTTGGAACTCAGCTCAGGAACTTCAAGAAGGTGGAAAGATCGATTAGGAAGAAGCTCGGAAGATCCAGAGCCCGTAGATTGCTTTCGAACTCTGTTTATCTGTTTGGTATCGGAGGAAACGATTACATCGTTCCTTTTGAAGGCTCCCCTGTTCTTAAGAAGTACACCAAAACAGAGTACGTGAATATGGTGCTCGGAAACGCCACCAAGGTGCTCGAAGTGAGTTTTACAAAATAATATATATTAAATATATATTAATTTCCTCCGATTTTTTTATATAAATAGAGATAGTGTAACTGCTCGAGCCCATAGATGTTTAGTTCTCCTCCTTAACCGATCAATGTGGGACTCCTCAATCCACCGTCTTGAGGATCAACGTCCTCGCTGACACTTGTTCCTTTCTCTAATCAACGTGGGACCTCAATTCACTCCCTTTCGAGGCCCAGCATCCCTGGCACACTGCCTCTTTTCCACCCCTTTTGGGGCTTAGCCTCCTAGCGAGCATTCGCTACCTTCTCTAATCGACGTGGGACCCCAATCCACTTCCCTTTGGGGCCAGCATCCTTGCTGGCACACCGCCTCTTGTCCACCCTCTTCAGGGCTTAGCCTCCTTGCTGGCACTCATACCTTCTCTAATCGATGTGGGACCCCCAATCTACTCCCCTACGGACTAGCGTCCTTACTAGTACACCGCCTCTTGTCTACCCCCTTTGGAACTTAACCTCCTCACTGACACTCATTCTCTTCTCTAATCAATGTGGGACTCCCAATTCACTCCCCTTCGAACTCAGCGTTCTTGCTGGCACATCAGCTCTTGTCCACCCTTTTCGGGGCTTAGTCTCCTCGTTTGTACATCCTCCGTGTCTGGCTCTGATACCATTTGTAACAACTCAATCCCACCGTTAGCACGTATTGTCCTCTTTGGTTTTTCCTTTTCGAGCTCCCATCAAAGTTTTTAAAACATGTCTAACAGAGAGAGGTTTCCACACCTTATAAACAATGTTTGTTCTCCTCTCCAACCAACGTGTAATCTCACTATAGTATCTCTTATTAGCATACCAATGATTCTTCTCTCAATAAGAACGAGCACAATTCGAGTGTGTATATATATATATATTTAGTTTGAAGCTGGATTAAACCAAAACTATTTGATGTGGTAGGAAATATACAAGAAAGGAGGAAGAAAATTTGTGGTTGCAGCGGTGGCTCCTATAGGTTGTATGCCAAACACGAGACTGAAGACAGGGAGGCAGCATGGAAGGTGTTGGGATGAGCCATCGGCGCTTGCAAGGCTCCACAATCAGCTTCTTCTTCCTATTGCTCTGCAGAAGCTTGCTAACAAACTCAAAGGATTCAAATACACCGTTGCTGATACCTATACTGTGCTTCAAAACAGAATAGACAACCCTTCAAAATATGGTAACCCCCCAACAATATTCTTCATGTTTCTTAAATTCTCTTTGATTTTTAGTATATTGGTAAGGTAAGGCAGAAAGTGACAGCATATATTTTTTGATTTTGTGCTTAAAACAGTGTCCATAAAAAGAAATGACAGAGTAGAAAGTAGGAGAAAAAACTAAACTATCCCGATGAGAGCTTTCGTGTCATTAGCGAATGGTTATGGTTAAATATAGTAGACTCCTTTTTGTCTCTCTCACGTAAAGAGGGTTCATGTTGTCTTGGGAACTGTTTGTAGAATAAAGTCTCCTAAACACCTCATTCGGTAAGCTGGGATCGAAAAGAAGTAGGTAATGTGTAACGGCCCAAGCCTACTACTAACGCACATTGTCCTCATGTTGTCTTGGGAACTGGTATTCTTGTTCATTGTAGAATAAAGTCTCCTAAACACATTATTCTCGGTGAGTTAAAATTGAAAAGAAGTAGGTAATGTGTAACGACCGAAGCCCATTACTAACGGATATTGTCCTCTTCCCTTTTGGGCTTCCTCTAAATGTCTTTAAAACACGTGAGAGGTTTTTGTTGAGGATTTTTGGGAGGGAGTCTCCTAAACAACTCATTCAGTAAGTTAGGATTGAAAAGAAGTAGGTAATGTGTAACAATCCAAGCCCACAGTTTTAAAAACATGTCTATTAAGGTTTCTGTCGAGGATTGTTGGGAGAGAGTCCAACATGGGTTAATTTAGAGAATGATATAAGTTTACAAGTAATGAACATATTTTCATTGTTACAAGGCGTTTTGAATAAGCTCAAAAGCAAAGTCAAGAGAGCTTATGCTCAGTGGATAATATCATACCATTGTAGAAATCAGTGATTTTCTAATAGTTTCCACACCCTTATAAAACGGTATTTCGTTATCTTCCTCAATTGATATGGGATCTCACATAATGAATTATTCACCATTTTTTAGCATACCGTCAATATATTAATGTTACTTTTGAAACCTTGTGTGGAACTGTCAATATATTGACGATAAAAATATTTTTAAACTTTTAAAAGAAATTCTAAATGTTGTTTTTTTTATAGATATTATTAAAATATTATAATATTAATTAAATAAAATATTTTAATTGTAAAAGTATTCTTAAATTCTTATTAAACTTAAATTAATTAATTAATATTTTTATTAATTTAGACTATTTTATTATTATTTCTTGGCTATGAATCTATTTCATTTATATATTTGTTAACCTCTCATTTAATTTATTATTATTTTCTTATTTGTTTAATAAAAAACGTGTTCCACAGCTGGAAGTCCATATGCCTCAGTAATGGCATCAATTATTTTTTTAAGAAAAATCTTTTTTTTTTAAAACGTTTATTATTAATTATCTCATAGTTAAACATATCTCGGAAATAATGCTAAATACCAATTTATTTTATTTTATTTTATTTTTGCCTTATTCTATTCTCAAAATATAATTTATATAATTTAATTTTATATCATATTTATATTTATTCATGCGAAAAAACAACATAATAATGGTTAAATATAGCAATTTGTAATTAATTTAATATACATATTTACTTACGATATCAAATATCATAATAAATTATATAAAATTCCTTTGAAACGTACTAGATGTAACAATAATATAATTTATATTTTTAAAGTAAAGGCATCATATAATTTGATTGAAAGCATAGGATAAAATGGAATATATCACATAATAATTTTGTTATTATGTATTCCATTTTAACTTGAGCTCAAATTCACTACAATATAAAACTATTTGCATTAAAAATAAAAAAAGATTTGGAAGAAGTAAAATGATTGGATAACCGAGAGGCGTATCAATTCGAACTATTCAACCCACTCTAGATTGAATTGGATAACCGAGAGGGTTCACACATTTACATTTTTTTTATCGAGTCAACTCGACTAACTCGAACATAAGGTTTCTAACTCAATCCTACTTTTAAGTTTATAATGAAAACTAAATGTATTTAACGTTTGTAATTTTGAGTTTTATGAGATTTTAGTTGTTATTATTGAGAATATTTGCTAAAATCATCTCGCCTAAATTAGTGAAATTTTGTCTTTATAATCATTTATAGAATCAAATAAATTATTAAAAAAAATAAAAATAAATAAATAGGTTGCTAAAACAAGTCTCTAATACCATGAGAATATTTGCGAAAACCACTGTGAGAGCTCCATGAGAATTAAATAAATTACAAATGATATGAAAGAGTAATAAATAGAAAAAGTAATAAATATCAATGAATATATGATCTTTCACTATAATAAAAAGACAAATATGATAATTATGGCAAATCACACTAAAAGGTGAAAGTTTTCTATTTATAATCATTTACCGAAAACATTAGTTGGGAACAGTAATAAATTGATACAAGATATTTAAGGGCAAATATGATACATAAATCCTAATTCTGAAGCTCATGGTTGCTTTCCAACACCTAACACCTAACACCTGATAGCTCTCTTCTCTCTGATTCTATTCTGTATGGATCTCTTGTTGATACCTTTTAGTACTGGATCATTACACGTTCAAATATTGCCCATGTTATCAATTCTGTAAGTCAATTTTTGCATGTCCCTGCTCTATATCACTTTATTGAGGTCAAACGTATTTTTCATTATCTTAAGATTATCATTTTATTCGGAAACTTGTCGTTGCTAGCAAACATCACATATAGTATGTACATTCCCATCGTTAGGTTTTGGTTGACATTTTCACAAAAAATGTTTCTTGACCTCTTTTTGAATTTTTTAGATCTAAGCTTCATGTTCGTTTAAGTCCGACGTTTAGCTTGCTGGGGAAGGGGTGTTAAAGATATTTAGTCTTGAATTATGATTTATCATATATATTATATTTGACCATTTATTATAGGTAAATATCTTGTATGATTGAGAATATTTTGCTTCCATTACAGTTTAACATAGTTACCATATTTGATTCTTTATAGACAAATATCTTATATGATATTTAGCCTCCGGTTGAACATAGGTATCATATTTACCATTTTATTATACGCAAATATCTTATATTCATTGATGGTTCTTTCTATTGTAATTTATTTGATCCTATAAATGATTATAAATTGAGAATTTACCCATCGTTTAGGTGTGATGGTTTTAGTAAATATTCTCATGGTATCATACCAAATATTTGATTATATTTATCGGAAAAAAAGATCACTGTTCTAAACGGAGGGAGTTTTGATATCATGAGAATATTGGCTAAACCCACCTCACCTAAATTGTGGTGAAATTTTCCCTTTATAATAATTAAATAAATTACCAATAAAATAAAAAGAGCAATAAATGGATACAAGATATTTTTCTGTAATAAAAAGACAAATATGATTCTATGAGAAATCGTAATAGAACAAAATATATTCAATCATACCATATATTTGTCTATAATAAAAGAACAAATATGATATCTATAAAAAATCGTAATAGAAAACAAAATATCCTCAATCATACAAGATATTTACCGCTAATAAAGTATCAAATATGATATATATAGTAAACTATAATCCATGACTAAATATCCTTAATAAATATAATTATACAGTACAATAGTGATTTCTTTAAATTATAATAAATAAAAGACAACCGATAACTCCACAAAAATAAAAGAAATGTGTTGAGTTGTAAACTCTGCTCAAGATGCTCGGGTCATCAAATCAATAAATAAAAGAAATTTAATTGGTCCAAAAGATTTTTCTAACTAAACTCAATTCAGTACGAGATCGGTGAGCCGTTTAGGGTCGAGGATCCCACCCTCACCAACCTTGTCTATTTAAGTATTGGCTTGTGTGTCACCTTATACAAATTAATTTATTTATTTTAACAAATTATTGGTTTTAGACTTCCAATATTTAAAAAAAAATATATAATATTAACTCAAAATTTGAAAAATTCAACCAAAAAATGTTGGATATATATATATATTTTTACACATTTGTAGCTTTCAATTTCCTTGTAATATAATATTTATATTGAAAAAATCCAAATAGAAATTGCTCAATTAATTAATTAATTATTATGTAGGAGGTAAAAATAAAGCTAAATTAATAAAATACCTCTAAATCTTATAAGACATCCTTAAAGTTTCATAAAGTTTCCCTTACGATTAATTTAAATAGAAACCATTAATATTTTGTTTAAAATACTCTTAAACTCTTTTTAATATTAGTTTTGAGATTTTAAGAGTATTTTAGAAACATGGTACAGACAAAGGTATTTTTTTATTTTTTAAAATAAAATATTAATTGTCTCCCTAAAAAAAATTAATAATATGGGTATTTTTTTTTATTAATTTAATCGGGCAAATATTACCCTAAAATAAAATTTATGCAATTTTGATATTTGATTATTAATAATAAATAAATAGATTTGCAGTTTGCATATGATGAGGAGGAATCACTTAAAGTTGGGATCCAAAAAGGAAGTCTATTGGTTTGTTTTTTGGTTGCATATTAAAAGTGAGTAAAAGATGCCTTTTATTATTTATTTATTTATTTATTTTCCCAATATTAAAAAAGCCAAATTTAAAACAGAATCCAACGTGTAACCAAACACAAATTATATTATTTTTTTATTTAATTTATTAATTTAACGCCGGGCTTCCTCCACTCTAAATTATTGCTTTATATTTTATTGTCTACCGTCTTTTTCACTTTTAAAGTTATTTTTTATAATTATTCAAAATTAAATGGGTTTTATTAGTCTCACACTTACCTACCAAAAAGTCGCTCACCCTCACTCACCTGATTTTTATGAATTTATTGCCTTTCTTTTCTTTTTAATATTATAAAAAAATAAAAATAAAAATAAACTTTCCTTTACATTTATTTCCGGTTTGAGTTGGTTGACTTTTTAGAAAATTGAAAAATTTTAATTGGTTCGTGTGTTGACAATTTTTTTTATTCAAAATAGAGTTATAACCAAACTCTATTATATTTTATTCTCGAGATTATTAGAATATTTGACGTATATAATCGATGTTAATGATATATTCTGACTTGTGAATGTTTAATAATTTAAAAAAAAGTAAATTATTTTAAATTTGTTATTAGCTATAAAAAAAAATTAAATTGTTATTTGGGTATAACTTGTAAAAGTGGAATAGTATTATTTAAACTCATGGTATTAAAAAAAATTAAAAAAAAAATAAATAAAAGATAGCGTGTGAGAAATAAAATAAATAATTAAAGTGGTTAAATGTACAGTCAGTCACGGACACACGCCGTTCTCGCCACTGGCCACAGTCGCCCAACTGACACGTTAGCTGACAAATTATGGACATGCTTTGCTTCATTTACCAGCAATTAATTAACATTTTATTATATAGTTTTTTATTTATTTTTTATTTTTATTACTAACAAATTAACCGTCTTATATTTATATTCTATCACTGCTCAATGATTCAAAATTATTGTAAATTAATTATAATTATTTATAAAATTAAATTAAATTATCGTAATTTTATTTATAAAATGTCACGTTGTTTCTCAAAAAGAAAAAAAATATTAGATCAAACTTCATTTTCCCAATCAACGTGATTTACGACGACAAAAAAGGGAGAGAAGGCTACGTGGCACAAAAACCAAGCGAGTACGAAAGTGAGTTCGGTAGACGCGCGAGTGGGATATAAACTCCCTATCAAAGACACGACACGTGCCTCATTGTCGGCTGAAGAAGAAAGACAACAATTAGTTGTGGCTTGCACATTTTCACGTTGTGGAAATTAAGAAGTCTACGTATTGGCCACATCAACTGCCAGCTGTCTCTAGCCACGTTTGAAGATGTCAAGATCTTTTTCAAGCCCATAATCCCCTCGCCGTTCGATCGAGATCATACGGTCAGATATTAACCACCTCAGTTTCCTATGCGAATTAACTAATATTATTTTAAGGTTTGACGTAAATAATAATAATAATAAATGAAAAATAAGGAAATAAATGTATCTAGAAAAAGATTGAAGTGGTATTTGGGTTAATTAAATTAAATTAAATTAAATTAAATTTCTTGGCCAGCTTTGCTTCCTTTTATTAATATTAAAAATTTGATTAAGCATCATTGTGCAAGCAAAGGATTTCATTTTCATAACCAAAAATTTGGTTGCCATCATCATCAGAAAATGATTATATTCAAATCATTAATTTCTAATGAATAATGTTAATAAAACATTTAATCTCACGTAATACAAATGAATCGTTTATTATAAAAAAAATAAATAATAAAAAATATGGGATTTACTGACAAAAATATTTTGTCTCTAGCATTTTTTTCGGGTTTTATGAATATTTGATGTTTGTAATTGATGTTAGTGATGCATTGTGACTAATAAGACTTCTCATGGATAAATTTGATTTTTTAAAAAATAATTAAATAAAAATAACTCGACAACTCAACCCAATCTAACATGAAAACAAAGGGCTGAGTTTGTCTAAAATATTGTTCCAATCCGACTCTACTGTATCTTTAAAAAAATAATATATGTAAGGTATGTAATGTGATGTGCCACATTAGTTGGGAGGAGAACAAATCATCATTTTAAGGGTGTGGAAACCTTCTCTTAGTAGACTCGTTTTAAGGTCTGGAGGGGAATCCCGAAAGAGAAAGTTCAAAGAGGACAATATCTGCCGCTTGCCTGGGCAGTTACCAATTAGTTATGGATGATGACTAATGAAATTTTAGTTATTAATGTGATATGTACTGTAGATAAGCTTTTTGTTTAAATAACAATAAAAGTCGGGTTGAGTTGTGAATTATATTCGAGTTGTTCGGGTTACAAATTCAACTAGCCTGATATTTCAAGTTAACCACTTAAAAGATTTTTTTTCAATCCAACTGCGACATAAGTCGTCAGTAATATTATATATTTAATAATAGCTAATAAGAAGACTCCAAGCAAGGCCAGATGGCATAGGCATATTCGCTTTTCATCTCTCAACGTGTTTATTTATTCCCTTTTAAAAATTAATTGTTAAATTATTGACTTCTTTATATTAAAAAAAAACAAAAATTACTTTTAATTTTCTTAAAAAAAATTGAATTATGAGAACATTCTTCCACGCAATGGTGGAAAAATTATAAATAATTGTGATAAATGTAAAAAGACAAAATACCCCCCGCAAACGGAGCAATAAAAAGTGAAAAAAAAACCGTGCTAGAAAACGTGCACCCTATCGCAACCCGACAAAACACTGGGTCCGAGTTAACAATGTGACTCGGACCGGTTCGACTCAGTGGTTCGGGAGACTCGGTAATTGAGTTACCCACCAATGGAGGTGTTTCCAGAAAGAACACAATGATTGGGCGGCCTATAATTAGTATAACGGCGAATTAATTACGATTTTATAATTTAATTTACTTATAAAAGGAAGAAAATTAAAAACCCCTAAAAATTATATTTGTTTTTTTTTTTTTTTCCCTCGCTCTTTTATCAATTATTATTATTATTATTATTATTATTATTATTATTACCATAATTTGTGTGGATACAGTCTTCGAAGCTGTTTTCTGCCATTTTTCTGCTACAACCTCCTTGCTTCTCTTCTCCATACGAGTACGATCTGAACTGGTTTCATCTCTATTTCTTCAAAAAAGCTGTTCATCTTCGTCCTTCCGTTAGTGGTTTGACTTCTTGGACTTGTTCTGTTGCGTCATTTTTATCCTCTTCAATGTTGTTTTGATTCCATGGCGTCTACTGTTCTTGAGCATTTTCTCTTTCGCCTTCGTCTTCTGAGGGTTGATGTGTGATGAGTGCTTTACTGATTGAAGTTTTTGAGGATTTTCCTGTAGCGAGGGAGGTTTGCTGTTGAAATTGAGTTTTGCGTGGTTGAGAATTTGGTTTTTGGTGGCGAGGTTGGGACTTGAGGTTTGGAGATCGAAAGTATGGGTGCGGAGATTGAAGAACAGAACTGGATTCATGATAAACCCGATCCTAATTCTCTCTGCTTGCAGAAATTCAGGCTCTATGAGACGCGTTCGGTAAATATCTCGTGCTTGAATTATTGAAGACACGCTTTCATGCATCTTTAATCTGATTCCATATAATCTCTGTCGTCATTTCCATACGTTTTTTCAAGTTCTGAATCTATTGTTCATCTTGGTTTTGATTCAGTACGATTTTGTTCTTGATTTGTTGGGTCGACTAGGGTAATTTTCGTTTAATTATTCCCATGGGTATCTCGAAATGGATCTAAGGCCTCCTTGAGCACGATTTGTGTGATTTGGTGTTGGAGGATCCAAGTAGAGGAGGAAATTGACATCTTCAGAAGACGCGCTGTTTCAATTTGAACAATGATTTGCCCATATTTGAACCTGTGTACAACCTACTCAAAGATTTGCTTGTATGGTTTGGTTGTTTTAGAAAAAATTTGAGGTTTTAAACTTATAAGACATTGTTTCTGAAAATGGGATGTTTAGATATATCGTTGCTGGTTTCTTTTGTTTACTCTCCAGTCTCATATTACAAAAATGCATGCCTCCACCATAATCCTTTTTGGGTGTAACAGAACTTTTATATGATTGGAAGAGACAAGAACCGAACGTTCTGGAAAGTGTTGAAGATCAGCAGATTGGAACCTAACGATCTAAACATTCTTGAAGATTCTACCGTATACACGGATAATGAGTGCTTTGACCTGCTGAAACGAATAAACGAAGGAAACAAGTTAACGGGTGGGCTCAAATTTGTGACCACTTGTTATGGAATTGTTGGTATGTTATCGACATGTGTTGTTCATGCACATTTTTCGTTCTTCTTCTTCAGAACTTTATGGTTTCTCCCGTTACAGGTACCATCAAGTTTTTGGGACCGCATTACATGTTATTGATTACAAAGCGAAGAAAGATTGGAACTATCTGCGGCCATGCAATTTATGCAATTACGAAGAGCGAAATGATTCCAATTCCAAATTCTACTGCCCGGTCCAATTTGGATATTTCTAAGGGTGAAAACAGGTCTTTAGTCCAATTTTCATGAAAATGTAATATGTCCTTGGTTCTTAAGGAGACCTAAGGGGTAGCTTTCAGAAATAGTGTCCATATGTATTTCAATTAGATTTTTGTTGTTCTATATTCTTCTGATTACATTTACAATTGAACTTTTGGAATTAATTCTTTTATTTGTCAATTGTTAGGAATAGTTGAGTTCTACACCGTGGAGGTAATATACTTGTAGTCTATTTTGTCTATTCACCCTTCGGTGTAAAGTTACTGATTCAATTTCTTGTACAAATGATTCCATATTTCTCTTTCTTTTCCCCTCTTCTTTCTTTTGGAGCATAAGTGGATCTTTCGTATTATAAGTTAGTAGTATGATTATAGCTCTCTCTATATATCCTTATTTTTAGAAGTTTTATATAAAAGGAAGTACCTTTTATTAATTGCCAGTTACCAGGATGTGATGTTTATATTACTTGTGGAATTAACACAAGGTAGTATGGTTTGATTGGGGAAAGTTACTTTCCTTCTTCTTTGTGGTTTAGCTTTTTAATAATTTCGTCTTTTCCATTTTCTCTTTCATCAAATTTATAATTTATTTTGTTAATTTGATGCTAATATGTTTCTTATTGTCTCCTTCTTATTGATTTAGATACAAGAAGCTCTTACGCACTGTGGATCTTAGGAAAGACTTCTTTTTCAGCTACTCATACAATGTCATGCGTTGCCTCCAAAAGAACATTTGTGATAATAAGACAGGACATTTGCTTTATGATACAACGTTTGTCTGGAACGAGTTCTTAACTCGTGGAATCCGGAACACTCTCAACAATACCATCTGGACTGTTGCCTTAGTGTATGGTTTCTTTAAGCAGGTATGCATTTTTTATTTATGGATATTGCACATTATTGGGTACTTTACATAAGTAAAAGATTTTTGCTTTCTGTAACTTGTAATGGGAAGGGGACTATTGTGTAGCTAGCAGCCGTTACTGTTGCCATAAGGGAATGAAGGGCCTTTGCTTGTTCATATTTTAGTTTTATAATTGTACTCATCTTCTACTCTGACTGCATTTTTTGTGCATTATTCTTGTCATATTCTTTTCCTTTTCTTGGCTCTTTATCAAGACAATATTACATTCTCTATCGAGCTCTTGTGCAGGTTTCATAGCATTTTAATGCAACATCAGATGTGTTTAGACAATGAATACTTTGTGCTTTACTTGTCCAGGTTGATCTTTCTGTGTCTGGCAAAGATTTGAAGTTGACACTCATTGCTAGACGATCACGTCATTATGCTGGTACAAGGTATATATGATTGCATTCGTGCACACGTGCAATAAGATTAAGTTCATGGAATTGTTCATATTTGACTTTTTTTGGTCGTAATCTGACTACAATTCTCGTGTTGTGCACTTCCAACCAAGCAGGATTCATCTTCTATCTTGATCTCTTAGATCCTAGGATTAACCATCTTTCCTCTATATCCAATTGTCTTTTAGGCAATTATTATGGAATTATGTCTGTATGTGCTGCGGATTATACATTTTTTGCAAGCCATATTATATTTTGTTGTTCTGTTATTTGGTGAAGATTTCTAAAAAGAGGCGTTAACGAGAAGGGAAGAGTAGCTAATGATGTTGAGACAGAACAGATTGTTTTCGAAGATGCTTCCGATGGTCGACCGACTCGAATAAGTTCAGTTGTGCAGAATCGAGGATCGATCCCCTTATTTTGGTCCCAAGAAACCTCACGGCTGAATATTAGGCCCGATATCATATGTATGATTGTAACATGTTTATGTTGTTAGTTGTATTCTTTTATTGGTAACTTCTCTAATCCGTCGCTGCAATCTCTATTTCCTTCCAGTGTTAAAGAAGGACCCGAATTACGAAGCCACAAGACTACATTTTGAGAATCTTGTTTTGAGATATGGGAATCCAATAATTATATTGAATTTGATTAAGGTATTTCCTTATCAATAATTTTGTTTCATGTTCGATGCTAAGTTATTGCATTCGCTGTTTATGTTTCCGAGACCTTGTTATTCGATCTTTAGTCTACTTTTTTCTTTCAATAGTTTCACTGCATTCTCTTGACACTATATTTAAAATCATTCGTGAAATAGACGCGCGAGAAGAAGCCACGAGAAGGTATCCTCCGTGCTGAGTTTGCAAATGCTATAAGACATATAAACAAAAGTTTACCTGCAGAGAACCGCCTAAGATTTCTCCATTGGGATTTGAACAAGCATGCGAAAAGGTATTATAGCCATTCTATACTTGGCAGTAACGATATTCTATTGAAACTGATTAATTATGTGTGATTATGATTTTTCTGCGAACTCTCTCTGCAGCAAAGCTTCCAATGTTTTGATGCAGCTTGGTAGGGTTGCTACATATGCATTGAACTTAACTGGCATCTTCTACTGTCAAATAGCATCCAATTCAAGCTCAGAGGAGCTTTTAAGCTGGACCTACTTCAAGTAAGTTTTACACATAGTGGTTTATTAGGTGCATGAAACGCATTTGCTCGTACTTGCCAATTTGGATGTAAGGATGATTACTAGTTTATTAGCCCATTTTGCATAGTATGATTGACCAACATTGCCTATGTTTTGAATGAATCAGGAAAAATCAGGGTACTGATTCTTCCATGGAGAACCTATCCACAGAAGAAGAAAATGAAGAAAACCTAGAAAAAGACGTCAGTAGTAGGGCGTATGGCAATGGTATACTTGAAAATCATCCAGTTGCGATGTTTCAAAACGGTGTCCTAAGGACCAATTGTATAGACTGTTTAGATCGGACAAACGTTGCCCAATATGCCTATGGGCTAGTTGCTTTAGGACGTCAATTACATACGTTAGGGCTTACTGATTCCCCAAAAATGGACCTGGATAATCCTTTGGCGGAGGAGTTGATGCGGGCTTATGAGAACATGGGTGACACCCTTGCATTACAATATGGTGGCTCTGCAGCACATAATAAGGTACCTCTATATGGATCATACAGGCTTCTATAATTTTTTATTAGAATGAAGAATCTTAGTCACGTATCAATTATGTTTCTTTAACAAGTTGTTTAGTTACAGCTATATAGTCATATTTGAGTTGGTCAACTTGAAATCCTGATTTAGATAGGAAAAGGGAAGAGAAAGTTCTATTATACTGGGTAAAAATTGGCTAATACTTACGGTGTTATCGTGTGATTCCCTAATGTATGGATCTTTACGCCCCATTTGTTCGTGGCAGTATTGATAAAAATGTTTAGAAGACCATTCATATTTTTTGGTTGTGAATTCCCTAATAAATAGGCTTTAGCATGTCCTATTCCATTCATGCTTGTGTATGGTCTGCCACTGTGAGTTGGCCGTTATCCATATATTTTTTAATTCACACCCAACAGATATTTTCCGAGAGGAGAGGCCAATGGAAAGCTGCAACACAGTCTCAAGAGTTTTTCAGAACTCTACAACGTTATTGCAACAATGCATACCTAGATGCTGAGAAACAACGGGCCATTAACGTGTAAGTCAGAGATTCATATAGTGTTCGCATGTTTTATAAATTTTGCACCGGGAAGAAATGACGAACCATTTGACATGGTATTTCCTCAGGTTCTTAGGTTACTATCAGCCACAGCTGGGAAAGCCAGCTTTGTGGGAATTAGACTCTGACCAACATTATGATCTAGGCAAGCGCATTACTGATCTTATTGATGAGAATTTCAGGTACATATTTATGCAATATGAATTTAATAGACATTCTGCAGATAGCATATCATGTGTAGCATAAAATGAGAGATGACAAATAAAAGAACGCATTCTATGTTATCTTTGTATAATTGGTTAAAGAATTGAATGGTACTTAGAATTCTTAAATGGGATTTTCACCCTCCTGAAGGACATCTTTTAAAAGATCACTATCAGATGGCAATATACTTGGTCAGAGTGAGTCTGATATGTTGAATACACATGACGGAAGCAGCAGGCCCTCTCCTCATTTGAACGAAGGATGTACTAAAGGCTTCTCAGAGTCTGCACCAGAGGTCTCAACTTGCGAGGATATATCTCTTTGCAGGTCTGTCAACATCACATTTCCTATGGTTTTCCTTCTTACATTGTTGGATTTAATACAATGGTGTGTGATAACAAAAAATGTAATTATCCTTAAAAAAAAATTTGGTCTTTGTCATAGGTATACTCCCTCTGTGTGTACTAGACAACTACAGGAAAACATGCAGGATGATCAAATGCTAGATCATATTTGCCACGATGAGCATGGGGATTCATGCAGCTGCTCTAATTTTCTGGATTTGGACTGGATTTCTTCATCTGGGAATTCTTGTGAAGATGAGTTGTGTGAAAGGTATTTGTATTGTTGTGCATTCCTATAGCTTTTGCTTTCCTCTCAGTTCTCAAAGTCGCTAGGATTCTGACATTTGAAGGCTTGATTTCCAAGAAACAATGAATAATCTGACAGAATTGAATCACCCTTTGATTTCTGCTGGTTTTCATTGCCTTCTGTAGCTTTTGGTTACTTGCGCTTAGTAGGGATCTGTTTACTGATAATTGACGTGGTTGATAGGTCTGTCACCAGTCTTTCATCGGAAAATGTTGCAAGTGAGATGAAGATTGACTTTATCTCGTCTGCAAGTGAGTCTGGATCAAGCTCAAAGGTCAGTAGTTTATTTACTCTCACTTGTTTGGTTCTTGAAAAATCGATTCTATATGCTTTTATCAGAGGATGGAAATCAATTTCATCGAATTCGATACAATTCTTCCCAATCAAAAAACAAGGAAATAAGACAAGATCTCCCGGCAATCCTTCCATCACCACTCTTGGTGTAGAAAATCACGTGTTCATCTCTAATATTTAATCCCTACTTTCTCTATGATCAACATTATCATGACATACTGCAAATCCAAACTAATTAAGCATCTACTAATCAGTTGATTTGTTGTCTTGTTTAGGTAAAAGAACGGTCTGGAACTGACCTTAATCGTGACGATATCGTCACTGAATACTCTGATCATTTTGTCGACTGGGTCAGCCATGGTGGAATGCTCTTCTGGTGAAGCTTACTCGAAGTTACTAATCAACATTGACTTCTTTCATCGGAGAAATTACATCCGAAGGGTGTAGTTTCTGTAGCCAAAAGTGAAACAAAATAACATTATCAGTCAGCTCGGTGAGGCAATAAATGAAGGACGGTAAGATATCTGGGGAGAGAGAGAGAGAGAGAGGCATAGTTTGTATTGTGCAGAAAATTTTGATGTTCAGGTCATCTGTGAGTAGCCAGCAGCCATTAACGGACTGTAGAGAGCTCTGCCAAAGAAAAGCTAGAAGATGAAGAATAGGAGTTTGAAGAGCTAACTTTGTATCTGGAGGAGCCACACACAGAATGAATAACTCACTCCAGGTTCTTGATTCTTATAGTTTTCACATTGTAAATATTTGTAGGCAAATCTATTATTCCATTGGATATCTCCCAAATTAACAATTGCAGATATATAGTGTCTCTTCAATCCCCCTGTTTGTGAAAACAAATATCATCAGATCATGTATAATTCTGTGAAAAAATAAGGCAAATTTTTCATCTTTAGAAGGGTTCTCTGGATTCTTATGTATGCTGCTGCAGGTTCATCACAGCAAATTCTCCTCCTGAAGCCCACCATTAATGGGGCAACAGGATTGCATTAAGACAGAGAAAAACCAGGTTATTTTTGTTCTCTACCAATGCATAATCTTCATATATTTTGATGTGTGTTCAAGATCAACAATTTTAAATAAACGAAATGCATATTTTAAAGTTCAAATGTAATGTAATGAAACAATAATTTTATGTAATCTGTATTAAAAGATCTTTTAAATTCAAATTCTCATATTCTAGTTAAATTAAAAAATCAAAATAGTTTCATATTTATTAAGATTATATTAAATCTAATGTGGAATTAAAAATTAATAAGGTTTTCATTCATATATTTTGATGTAATTATTAATTCTTCTAGGAAAATAAAATATATATTAATTTTGATTTTAATCCTGCTTTAAAAAAATTCTCTGTGAATTACATATGTCGTCTGAACTTATTCATTTAAAACTCTACCTTCGTTAAACCTTCATTTGTTCTTGACGTATTTGTAGAGTAATCTAGTTGTTCTTGATCCGAGATTGAGTCTATCCACATGAGACCTGAATGAAACAAAATTAGTTTTGGCTTGTATTTTGATGCTTAAATTGGGCATTGTGTGTGATTCTTCCTGTATTTATTCGATGAAAGAAATTAAACTGGAGATCGTAAGAACCTTGCCTGATAATAAACTTAGTTTCAGACTTTATGTGCTTTCTTAGACAGAAAAACTGGAGTACGGTAGTGGGATGAAAATCAAAATAATGCCAGAATCAATGATGGATGAGTTTTTATTATAGTCCTGTTCTGATTATCATATAAATAAAATGAGTTTGTCTATCTTCTAAAATTCATTTCTCAAATTGTCTATGATATTGTCCAAACTCATTTTGTTGAACATGTTGGATGATAGAAGTCCCACATCAGCTAATTTAGGGAATGATCATAGATTTATAAGTGAGGAATACTAACTCCATTGGCATGAGATGAGGCCTTTTGGAGAAGCCCAAAGCAAAGCCATGAGAGCTTGTGTTCAAAGTGGACAATATCATACCATTGTGAAGAGTCGTGTTCGTCTAACATGGTATTGGGGAAGCCCAAAGCAAAGCCATAAAGCTTATGCTCAAAGTGGACAATATCATGTCGGGTTCGTTAAATACAAATTACAAAAACTCAAACCAATTATCTTTCTATTGTGATTACCGATTCTATGCGAATCAAAATTATTGTCGCAATCAACTCCAATACTGTTGATGCTAAATCGCAGCAGCTTGCTGCGCCGACCTAATACGACCACGAACACTTGCGAGTTCTTCATATCATGATTGACAAAAGGAATCGTGTGAACAGATAATACATCAAAAAACGATGCGCCAATACAATGAAAAAATGTTGACAATCACATTCGGTTGATACTCTAAAATCCTGTTCATATCAGATCTAGCTATGCATCCAAATTTGACGAACGAAGAAATGCGTAAACAAACAATCAATGATTCCTACACTAAATTCAGCCAAAATCCACAACTAAGCAATAAAGAGAACAGAAAAATCGCCTTGGAATTCCATATTTCCATAGATGTTAATCAATAATCAGATCGCGATGTGGAAATGATCCGAAAATAATAGAACATACAGATGAATCATACCGTCCTTACTGCTGTACTTGATAACATAGCGCTCCGCTCCCTTAGGAAGTCGATGTTCGAGGCGCACGATCGCACTTGTTACAGTGGTGGACTTCACGACGCGCACTTTTCTATTTTAGACCGGTATTTATAGCACCGACTTACACATTTCCGTACTAAAAAAAATGTAAAAATAAGAATCTTAAAGACTGAAGTCCATTCAGTGGGCCGAACTTTAGGCCCAATTTTAGGCTAAACCCCGTCCCTGCGGAGAACTTCACGAGCTCTGTAACAATGGCGGCTTCTAAACCCACTAACAAAGCTTCAATCAACATGGACGACATCGATGCTCTCAAAGCCGATATAGCTTCCTTTGCTTCCTCCCTCAAGATCCCACCAAAGCCCAGAATCCAAAAGCTCTCAATCCGAAAAGCAAGGAACGGCCGAAGCGTAAGCCCCCTGTTCTTGCTCTCGACGATGACAACGATAAGCCTCGAAGTTTTGACAACTTCAAGAACCTGCCGAAGCTTCCTTTAGTGAAAGCCAGTGATTTGGGTGCGTGGTATGTTGATGCTGCGGATCTGGAAGCGAAAGTGATGATAAATTAGAAGAAGATTGAAATGAAGAACGTGGAGGAGTGGAAGAATCTGGTGGAGAAGAATAGGGAGCTTGGTGAAAGATTAATGGCTCAATATGCACAGGATTATGAGATATTAGCATTTTCAGTCATGGTGGGGGATAATCCAGTTGCCAATTTGAGATCACTTGATGCATTGCTAGGTAAATTTTAGGGTAATTTTGTTACTTTTTATGATAAGAATGTTGGTTTTTCCATGTTTTTTCTTCATTGAGCATGCTGTAAGTTACAACTTTTTGCCTTTTTATGGCCTAATATCTTAGTTGTTCTAGTTTCTTTGCATCATGGGCATTCATTTTCATTATAGAGAAGCATTTGAATTGCTTGTTTTTGAAGTTTTATATTTGTAGCTTGTGATATTGACTAATGTTTTATTGTTTAAGCGTCTGTTTGGGTTTTATAGAGAAGCAAATGTAGGCTTGTCTAGAAAAGCCAATGTCAAGAACCCAAAACTATTATCCCTTACAGCCATAGACATTTTAACGGCCCAAGCCCACCGCTAGCATATATTGTCCTTTTTGCGTTTTCCCTTTCGGGCTTCCCCTCAAGCTTTTCAAAATGCACCTGTGAGGGAAAGGTTTACACACTTAAGGGTGTTTTGTTCTCCTCCCCAACCGATGTAGGATCTCACAATCCACCCCCTTCAGGGTTCAGCGTTCTCACTAGTACTCGTTTCTTTCTCCAATCAATGTGGGACCCCTACCAAATCCACCCTCCTTCGGGGCCCAGCGTCCTTACTGGCACACCGCCTCATGTCTACCCCCTTCGGGTAACAGCCTCCTCACCAGCACATCCCCCAGTGTCTGGCTCTGATACCATTTGTAACGGCTCAGGCCCACCGCTAACAGATATTATCCTCTTTGGGCTTCCCCTCAAGGTTTTTTAAACGTGTGTGTTAGGGAAAGGTTTCCACACGCTTATAAAGAGTGTTTTTTCTCCTCCCCAACCGATGTGGGATCTCACAGACATTGTATAAGCAATCTTGGATGGTTAGACTGATAGATGAAGAAGAAGAGTTTTGATTATGTAATCTATTGTTTCACAATGAAGCGGGTTATTTTAGTGAACTCAATGGGGGAGGCTTTGATGGTTCCTTGGACACCATATTTTGTTCTGAAACAGTATTTTTTGGTTCTTAAAGGGATGGTCACATCGAAAGTAGGGAAGCGCCATGCATTGACAGGCTTTGAAGCGTTGATGGAACTGTTTATCTCAAAGTGGCATCTCTAAATTGTGGTATCTGTTGTGCAGTAGAGTAGTGACATTTTAGTTTTCGGGTTAGCTTATCGTAACGTAAACTTAACTCTTACTTCCTCGTTTCAGTTTGTTGCCTGATCGGAAATTGAACAGTTTACTACAACGGCCATTTAATCATCTTCCTGATACAAAAGATGGACACTCGTTCTTGTTTGTTTGTACGAGATCCCACTTCAATATATTTATGAGTGGGATGCCTCGTTCTTGTTTGTTAATACGAGATCCCACGTTGATTGAGGAGGAGAACGAAACACCCTTTATAAGGGTGTGGAAATCTCTCCCTAGCAGACGTGTTTTAAAAACATTGAGAGGAACTCCGAAAGGGAAAGCCCAAAGAGGACAATATATGCTAGTGGTGGGCTTGGGCTATTATAAATGGTATCAAAGCTAGATACCAGGCCATGTGCCTGCGAGGAGGCTAAGCCTCAAAGGGGGTAGACACGAGACAGTGTGTCAGCAAGGTCACTAGGTCTCGAAGGGGGTAGAATGGGAGGTCTCACATCGATTAAAGAAGGGCCAGCGAGGACGCTGAGTCTTGAAGGGGGGTGGATTATGAGACCCCACATTGGTTGGGGAGGAGAACGAAACACCTTTATAAGGGTGTGGAAACCTCTCCCTAACAGATAAGGAGGGTGGATTGTGAGATGGTTGGGGAGGAGAACGAAACACTTTTATTAGGATGTGGAAACTGTTTGGGATTACAAACTGTTTGGGATTACAAACCAAGTATTGCGCTGTATATTTTACTTCCCATACTCTTTGAAATTGTTTATGGAAGACCTCAGCTCAGACCCTTTGCTATAACTTTTTATATAAGATCGTTTGCTATATAATCTTTATTAGATTTTGGAAATTGAAGATTATGAGATGGATTATGAGTCAAGTTCAGATAGTGCTTATTTTCCATTATTTATGGATAATGATCCAATTGTCTCAGAACTTGAGTCATAATCCATCTCATAAAGTATCATCTAAGAATCAAGTTGTTAGTGACCGCTTCTTGCGTGCTCTGTACTCGAAGTTATTACTTCCAGCTGCTATGAACTCTTCAAAGGCAAGCCCAGTTTTCGTTTTAGTTTGGAACTGAAATATTGATCGTTATCACTTATTTTTTTTTGTTCGTTATACAATCTTTTGCTCGTGATGTTTTCGTGTTTGTTTTTTCTTTTGAGCGACTGCACAAACGTTATCTGAATTAGGTAGCTGACTCATATTTTGTTTCTATCAGAACAACCATTTAATTGAACCACATTAGCTGAAGAGGATGTGCCCCCAAAAGATCTTGTGTTCCACAGGTTTTATACCTTTAAAATGAACTCCTCAAAGAAAACGAAGAAGAAAAAGAGGAGGCTGCTGATGATTTGGTCGGTGAGGCTGACGACAACGACGATGCTGCCGAAGATCTGTTCAATATTGACATGGTTGGTGGGGGTGAGACTGAAAATGAAGAACTCGAGATGGTGACTACGACTACGATGACTTGGATCAAGTTGCCAATGAAGACGACAAAGACTTGGTTCATAATATCAGTGATTAGCAGTGACGACGACATAGGACAAAGTGGAAAACAAAAGCATCGTCATTTGCAAGCCTCAAAGATTATGAGCACTTAATGAACAAGAACAATGTTCATAAAAACAAGTCTACTAAAGAGAAGGCGAAGTTGAAGCCAAACTTGAGGACAAGGAAGAGGAGGAGATTGGGTTCGGTTGGTAAACAAAAAAACGACAGAAACGAGCATTTGTTACATTCATTTCGGCTCGAATCAACACAAGAATCAACAACAACACCATGTGGGGGTGTTGGCTTTCAACATCAGGTTCGCTAAACAATTCTCTTTCAAAATTATATTTAATCCACTTTGTCTCAACTTGTGTGCACATCCTAAAGATCATGGTGAAGTTTTTGTTTGTTTCTATCATATTCATGAACCCCATATTACTGATTGATCAATCTACAAGATTCCGAGCTGCAATCTCTGATTATATATGGGTTCAATATCGTTGTTGTTTCGATATGATAATTAGTGCAATGATTGAACCGAAACGATCCAATCTATTGTATTGGGACCGAGCTGTAAAGACGGTTCACCAAACACAGAATAAGGACTAGAAGGCTTTTGTTAGGTAGCTACCAAAAGAAAACAAAGGAAAAGCTTAAAAGGAAAGCGAGGAGTTTACAACATTGTATATTGGATAACAACTTGTCACAGATTACTCTTATAGATCCTTTCAAGTTTTTCTGTTTTTGTTCATTTTTCTGTCTTCTTCATTTGGACCATCCAATGTCTTTTGTATTGGAGTGACAGGCAGCTCTCTATGATTAGCTATGGAGCTGAGAATTCTGAGTTTTTTGTTTGAAATTTACACGGAACTGAAATCTTATCGATCTTATTGTTATGTCAGTGATACAACGTGTAAGTACGTAAGAGAATAGTGTTGGGTTTAGGACCTGTCAAATGTTGAAAGGAATGAGTGCGTATTCGTGTCCCACGCACTAGAAAGCGTTTGAAATTTTTCTGAAAGATAGAACAAAATGATTTGAAATGGAGTAACACAGAAAGACCCATGGGGGAGAAGTGAGATCCCACATCGATTGGAGAAGGGAACGGGTGTCAACGAGGACGCTAGGCCTTGTAAGGGGGTAAACCCACTGAGGAGAAGTGAGATCCCACATTGATTAGAGAAGGGAACAAGTGTCAACGAGGACGCTGGGCCTTGAATGGGGTAGACCCACTGGGGAGAAGTGAAATCCCACATCAATTAGAGAAGGGAACGAGTGGCAGCGAGGATGTTGGGTCCTGTAAGGGGGTGGATTGTGAGATCCCACATTAGTTAAGGGGAATAACAAAGCAATCTTTACAAGAGTGTAGAAAACACGAAAAGACCGACTATGAGTTCCCACATCGATTGGAGAGAAGGATGTGTGTCAGTGAGGACACTAGGTCTCGAAAGCGGTGGATTGTGAGATTCCACGTCGGTTGAAAAGGAGAACGAAGCGTTGTTTATAAAGGTCTTCAAAAGAGAACAATATTTGTTAGTGATGGGTTTGGACTGTTACACTAACACCATTACTTTCTTCTTTCGGTATCGGCCCGACACCAAATGGTTAGAGGAACACAACCTCGAGAAGGTAATAAAAATTGAATTGCATTGAATTTTGATGTGTGGTAGTAAAATTGACCAAGTGGTTGACCGGTAAATGGCAATAATTGGGAGAAAAGATCCCATATTCATTAAAGGTTGAAAGAGACACTAATGTGTTACTGAGACAAGACAAGAAACAGGCTATGGATTTTAAAGATGTTTGGTTGGAAAAATGAAAAGCTGAGGAGGCAACTAACAAAACACAAAAAATAAAATCAAATCAAAAAATAAATATTTTCTTTTTCTTTTTCTTTTTTTGAATCAAAAACGTATTTTTAAAAGCTGGATGGCATTCGCAGATTACCAATTATTTAATTTCTATTTTTCTTTGAATTAAAAAAAAAATTATTTTTTTCTTTTTTGCACGATTCCTTTTTCTGACATTTTGATATGCTTAAATATTTGTTCATATAATATAATAATTCCTTTATGTTTTTAATGCTCTTTCAACGACAACTGTGTCTTCACTGGCATTTTCCCTCTCTTATCCCTTTTTCTTTTCCCCCATTTTTTCTCTCTCTAAATATATATATATATATATATATATATATATATATATATATTTTTTTTTT